TACCTCCAGGTCACCCAAGGCCTCGGGAAAGTGATCCCACCAAGAGGTGGCCACTGGGGGAAGAAAGCAAGTGTTTGCTGATTTGCAAGATAAATGGTTTTGGGCGGGATCGTGGCTCAGAGGTAGAGCGCTGGTGGGACCCAGGTTCAGTTCTCAGCACCACATAAAAATAAAGGCATTGTGTTGTGTCCATCTACAAAAAAGATTCTCTCTCCCTCCCTCCCTCTCTCTCTCTCTCTCTCTCCCCCTCTCCCATTAAAAAAAAAAAAAGATAAATGGTTTCCTGCTTCCAGTCAGACGAGCTGTTTAACAGCACTGACTGATTCCCTGACTTCACTTAAAATGCCTACGAAAGGGCTTGCATAAAAAAAGCACTGCAATGCTTTAATTTTAATATGCATATAAGTTCAGTCTATAATAAAATGTGTTAAATGTCAACATAAAAAGGAAGACGAGGAAAGCAGGGTTCCTGGGCTGGTGGGGCCATTGCAGCGCGGACTTCGCCTTTGCACCCTCTCGGGTCTCTCCCTCATCCCTGTTGAAAAACAGAACATGCCGCATCCTGAGATACCTGTTCACACTACACCAGCCCTGGGAAGAGGGAGGTAGTGGTCACACCACTGGCAGGACCCTCAGGGACCTTCCTGTCCACCGCGAGGAGGTGCACGGAGCCCTGGAGGTCTGAAGGGAGCTACCCAGCTTCGCGCCACCTGACCTGTGCCCAGGCTGAAGACAGACCCGCTGCTCTCCCCACTTCCTGTCCTGGGTCCCTGCTCTCCAGGGCTTGCAGTGGGCCATCCTCACCATGTCCTCTCACTCCCGCCCCTGTGCACACACAGTCCCCTCACCACGTCCTCTCATGCCCGCCCCTGTGCACACACGTTCCTGTGTGTCTTTGAGTCCTGCTGCTAAATGACCCAATAAAGTGGGTCCAATAAAGTCATTCACAAAAACACTTCCAAGTTTTTTTCCACGTCCTCAATTTACCGGGCTTCAAATCCTGGGCCTGGGTTTCCCGTGTCCCCCGTGCTGCAGCTCACATATTGATACCGTAACCCCTGATATGAGGGTAAGAAGAGGTGGGTCGTGAGGGTGGGGCCCTCAGGAGTGGGATTAGTGCCGGGGGCCCCCTGGCCCCTTCCACCTTGTGAGGACACAGGGAGTTGGCCGCCTGCCCCCTGAGAGGCCCTGGCCAGAACCCAGCCTCACTGACACCCTGGTCTCAGACTCCCAGCCTCCAGCACAGTGCAAAATGCACTTCTGTGGTTTACAAGCCACCCAGTCTTGGTGCTTTATGGTGGCAGCTTGAGTGGACTAAGGAGCCTGATCCAACCCTGGAGACTGGTGTCAGAGGAGGCCCGGGCTGGCGGGCAAGAGGGGAGGTTGACCAGGGAGCCCACGGTGTGGGCACCTGCAGCAGGGTTGGTTGGCCCCCACTTCCCTGTCAGTGCTCAGCCCAGGATTGCACACAAAGGGCCCCAGGACGGATGATCCGCTGCAGATTCACCACCCAGGGATGGCGCGGGCTTGCCTCTAGGCAGGCGGGAACACAGGAGCCCAGAGGGTGCGCTGCAGGAAGGAGGCCGTTCCAGGCCCAGCTTGGAAGTGCCTCCTCCCACGCGGGACGAGTGCGGCTCCGCCACCAGGACGGGAGGACTTCCTTCCCCCCAGAGAGCCGCAGAGGAGGAAGCTGAAGGGAGGATGCCGTCAGAACAGGGAGCCAAGTTGAAGGCACCGTCTCTCCCGCCTGTTTCCCGTGTTCTCTGAGTCACCAAGAGCGGCTTCCTCCACCTGGCGGGACAGATGGCCACCGAGGGCTCCCCGTTTTAAAGTCCAGGACCATGTGCGATGAGAGGAGCAGGGAACACTCCTCCCCGGCCCTGCTGTTCCCGTGGGACTTGGGCTCTTTGTCAGCTGGGCTGGGGGTGGGGACAGAGAGGACGGGAGGGTGAGGATGCCCTTCAGGCCCTGACTTCCTGGAGCGCAGCGGCAGGACCAGCTGCGTGGGTGCTGTGGACCCAGTGTGTGTCCCCAAATCCGTGTGGTGGACCTCAGTCCGCTGTGACAGCGTGAGGAAGTGTGGCCTTTGGGAGCTGATGGGATCGTGTCCTTGTGAAGAGGCCCCAGGGCTCCCTCATCCTCTACCCGTGAGGATGCGGGGAGAAGCCACCATCTGGGAGGCAGAAGCGGCCTCCCCAGACCTGAGCCTGCCGCCTCCTTCTCAGACGTTGGTCTCCAGGCTGTGCACAAGAGTCAGTTGTCACAAGCCACCCAGTCCCAGGAGCTTTGCTCCAGCAGGGGAAGGGCCGAGCTCTCTCCTGGGGAGGCCTAGGGGGTGCATCCTGGGCGCCGTGTCCTGGAAACACTAGGGCCCCGACTTCAGGGACCGTGGGGCGCAGGATGTGTGTGCTGCCGCGTCTGCGTGTGCACGTGTGCTTGTGTCCGTGCGAGTGTGGGGCAGCCTGGCTCAGCCGGGGTGCTGCTGTCCCGGGAGTGCAGCCGCCTGCACTGGGTGTGCAGCCACCTCATGTAGAACACAGTGTCACTCGTGCCACCGTGACCAGGTCCAGCGTTCTAGCAGCTGAAGCAGAAGCTCATCGTCTCCTGGTTCTGGAAGCCAGAACCCTGAGCTGTTGCAGGGCTGGCTCCTTCAGGGCCCTGGGGGAGAGTCTGCTCCAGGCCTGCTCCGTTCCGGGGCTCGATGGTGAGCTTGGCTGGCTTTCAGGCAGACCCCTCTACTTCTGCCTTCACCTTTACGCAGGCTCCCCACGTGCACGTCTCTGCGTCCAAACTCCCCTTTGCATAGGGACACTAGGCCTGTGGGATGAGGAGCCCCCCACTCCAGTATGGCCCCATCTCCAAACAGGCCCTACCTGAGGTTCTAGGGGCCAGGACTCAGCAGACGGACTCAACCTACCACAGTGTGTGGTGGTGTGTGTGCCATGTGTCAGGGCTCTGAGTGGCTCTCACTGGGCATGTCCACACGCTGAATGTCCTTGTTCCCCCAAACTCCCAACCCTCAGTGTGGCCCACAGTGCACGCACACGTGTACACATATTCGTTGTCCCAGTCAGTTTTTTATTCCTCTAATAGAGCACTTGAGCCTGGGTAATTTATAAAGAAAAGAGGTTTATTTAGCTCCTGTTCTGGAGGCTGGGGGTTCAAGATCTGGTGTCCCCCTTGGCGAGGGCCTCATGCTGCATGGTAACATGGCGGACAGCATCCTGTGGGAGGAGGGTATGTGTGACTGTGAGTGGGCCCATGTGGGAGAGAGGCGGGATGAAGGGGACACACACATGGCCACTCACTGTCACAGTGGCTCACCCACTCTGTGCTGATCTGCTCAGGGAGGTGGAGCCCCGTGATCCAAACACCACTTGGGGGCCCACACGCTCCAGACCCCCACATTCGTAATTGAATTTCAACACGAGCTTTGCCAGGGCAGACCACAGCCTGCGCGGTGGCTGTGCCTCCAGGGTCCTCTTCTTCCAGGCTCCTTTGACCCTTCCTGAGCTCGGCTCCTTACTCTGAGACACAAGCCGCAAGCTTCCCCGAAAACAGGCGCCTCCCAGGCCCCTGGGCCAGCGGGGCCTTTCTCCAGGGAGATGTTGGCCGGGCCCTCTTAGGAGACCTACACCCTGCGCAGGAGGCTGTCCAAGGCGGGAGGACTGGGTGCTCTCCCATCCTGCAGGATCGTTCATTCTGAAAATGGAGAATGAGGAGGCAGAGTTCCCTGTGCGCTGAGCCCGTGTTTCTGCCCATTCCACTTCCTACTCTGGTAAGTCAGACTGGCAGAAGCCGCGGCCCAGGACAGGGACTGGCAAACACGCCCTTGCTCGTTTTGGTAAATCCAGTTTCACCTGAGCGCAGCCACCTGTGCGTGAGCTACGATGGCCCAGCCGCCTGGCCTTGAGGAGGCCCTGTGGCCAGAGCTGACAGCACCACTCTGGTCCTGCTCGGGCCACGGTTTCTGTCCTCTGGTGCAGGAGTCAGCGGGTCAGGGCTCTGAGCTGAGTCTGCCACTGGTACTTGCTCGACTTTGGAAGAACAATCCTGACTCTCAGATCACCAGCTCTTGCACCTGTCACCAGGGACCTGACCAAGGTGTTGGGCAAGATGGCCTCTGAGATGACTCTCCTCCTGAGGTGCCACCACGGACCCCCTGGTGGCTGTGAGCCCGTGTGCGAGGTCCTGCTAATGTCACACTCTGCTTTTCAGGGACACCCATCCAGGAGTGTTTGAGAGGTGTGGAAGCCAAAGGAGAAATGTCATGTTTTTCTTGTTATCTCCTGAGCCAATGGAGCAAGGTGCGGCAGATGTCCCTGGCCTCGCTGCCTCTTTTAGACACTCTCCGAAAGCTAATTGGAACATTTACATATACTTTAAATTATCTTGTCTTCCCTCTCCATTGAACATACTGAGTTTACATGGAAAGACCATTCTCTCAGGAGGCTGAGGTGGGAGGACCACTTGGGCCCAGGACTTAGAGGCCAGCCTGGGCAACATAGCAAGAGCCTGTCTCAGAAAAGCAAAAGCCAATTAAAAAAAAAAAAAAGTAAGACCATTCAGTTATGACCGAGCCCTTAGATCTGTGACATGCCCATCCATTCTACCTTTGCATAATTGTCAGTAATACGCATAGTTTAACTCTCTATCTTCCGCTCATTGGGTAAAACAGGCCACGGAACTGAGCTGAATCCCTTTGACCGTTTTCTTCTCCCAGTTTATCCTGGAGAGGCTCACTAATTATTTGCTGACAGTGGGTCAGTGGTTTTTGGTTATTTCCTTGAATTGCTCAAGGGAGAACTGTGTGCAGAGATAATGGGGTCCAGTTGTTGGTCTTGATAATCCATGAAGAAGCCAGATCCTTCTGAGATGAGAAACTTCTTTTATTGATGTGGCTACGAGCAAGGCCGCAGGGACAAGTGGATTTCCGCATTCCCAATCACCACAGTGCTCCTAATCCCTCCCCCAGCGCGTCCCCCTCTTCTACACTTCCAGCTCTGCACCTTCTCGAGATGCTGGGGGCACCTCAGCGGGGACAGAAGCCACCTCGGAGGGTAAGTCGGCGTTCAGCTCAACATGGGTCACTTCCTGGAGATGGATACAGAGGGTCTGTAGAGCCGGGTGGTCCAATGTGGCAGTCCCTAGCCACAGAGGGCTACTTAAATCCACATTAATCTAAGTTGCATTGAAATTCAGGACCTCGGTGCCACTGGCTGCATTTTGCATGCTCAGGGGCCACATGCACTGGTGCTGGTTGCATTAGGCAGAGCAGAAGAAGAGACATGGTGCCGGTTCAACTGGACGGCCCACTCCGAGCTGTGCTCGAGGAGGTGGGGTGTCCTGCCCATGCTCACAGGGACTGCCACAAAGGCCCAGGGTCGAGGAGAGGAACTGCTCCTCTGCAGCCACTGGCTGTGAAATATTGCATCATTACAATAATTCTACCTCCAACTCTCTGTTAATTGATGCCAGAATTTGAACATGGCAAATAGACCAGATCAGAACAGAAAAGGAGAAAAAAGAAAAACGCACAGCAGACCAACCGTGGGTTCTGTGAGGCTGGGATGCCGACCCGGGACAGAGACCCTGACGAACCTGACGTCTGCGATCCTGCTGGGTCCCCCAGGCCTTCTAAAATGAGGGTGCAATATCCACCAGGTATGGGGACCGGAGTGAAGCCCAACCCCTGGGGATCCCGTGATTACTCTAAGACCACGTGGGTGGTGACCAGGGGCACCCTGGATGGAACCCAGCAGCTGTGGACTCAGGCTCACGGGGTGAACACAGTGCCGGCTGGCCTCCTGCCACCTGGGTGAGTTGGGGCATCATAAATCAGAGAGTGGGGTACACCAGGGGGCAGACGTGACCCACACTGGCAGTGAGTGAGCTTCTGGGAATTCCTGAGGGGGGCACTCACGGGGACAGGTGAATTTTCCAGGTGAGCGAAATCTGTAGGAGAGAGAGAGAGAGAATATCAATTTTCAGGCATTCGGTTTTTCTCTCCATGGTTTTTACCCATCTCTTTGTCACTCACCTGAAGTCTCCTGCTTGTCACATTTGGAATGGCTGCTTCTGGGGGGGAGAGAGACGGGCTTTGGAGAGGTCAGGGGAAAGGCACACAGAGGGCTGGGGCGGGGTTTGGGTGGGCTGGACGCCAATCCCTGAAGTGCAAACGGGGTCTCTGAAGAAAGGGGTGGGGTACAGGCCTTGTCGGGGGCTTGTGTCCATCTACCTCTTGGAGGAGTCTCCGCCCGACGCGTCTGAAAAGAGCAGAGGGAGGGGTTCGCTCCTGAGGACGCCTTCTCATCGTGCCCACCCCGGCCTGGCAGAACGGCCTCCAGCTCACCTTGCCGTGTCCACCCGTCCACCAGGAAGACACAGATGAGGAGGAGGACGATGGCCAGGCAGCTGAAGGTGGCGGCAAGGATGCTTCTGAGGTCTGGTGAGAGAAGGGTGGGCAGAGTCTGCTGGGACACAAGCAGCCAGGGGCCTGGCGGCCTGGCTCCCCAGCTGGGACGCCCCCCACCCTCCCGCCTCCTCTCCCTGTAGTGTGAGGGAGCTGTGGCAGCCGCTTTGCTGAATGGTGGGGAGGAGACGTGGACCCATGCAAAGGCCTGGGACGTGCCTTGCCGCCAGGGAGTTCCATCCTCTGCGATCGATCGTTCTGGTCATTGATTGAGAGCCAGCTCTGCACTAGCTGCTGTGTGTACGTCTTCCTCATCTCCACGGTAAGCACATAAGTAGACTGACTACTTACTACCTCCATTTTGAACTTTTAATCCATCCATTCACTCATTGATTTTTTGGTGCCGGGTATGGAACCAGGGCCTTGCTCCTAATAGGCAATTGTTCTGTCTCTGAGCTCCATTCAGCAGGGACAAAATATAAACCCCAAAGGCACTGCCCCAGTGACCCACCTCCTCCAGCCACTCACATCTGCCTAGTCACCACCCAGTTAGTCTGCATCAGTGGACTAGTCCACTGGTATCTGACCATCTCACCTCTGAATGCTCTTTCATTGTCTCACACATGAGCTTTTGGGGCCATCTAAACCACAAGGGGTGAACATTTAGCCAACTTACTGCAATGCGAGACACAATCACTGATGAACAAAAAGTCCCAACTCGCACCTGAGTCAAGAATCACTTTATTTTTTTCTGCCTTCAAAATGGCACATTGAACCCACTCATTTACCCCCTCCCCAAGCCCCCGACACGAGGAGGCAGCTTGCTATTATTTCTGGAAACACAATGGACTAGACGCACTAACTCTTCTGGCTGAGAACAGCTCATAAGTTCAAGTATTTTCTGACTTTTCTTACGTGCAGCGAGTTGACAATGAAGTTAGAAGTTTCTGGAGAGAGGGAAAAAAAAAACTGCAGACAAGAAACCAGACAGGAAGCAGACCCCTGGGGCTGGCTGTGGCCGGTTAGTCGCCACTGCTCTGGGGCACGGGCTGGGGGGGGCGGTAATACCAGGTGCCCAAGACAGGACCTCCATGCAGCGGGGACCCCTGAGCCACGTCCCAACGGCCAGTGGAAGAAAAGAGAAAGCCCTGATGTTGTGTGTGAGTCTTGATTCTGCGTTAAACAATCAACATTAGTGATAGGTTAAAAAGAAAAAGAAAGAAACAGCAGGGAGACCCAGCTCTCTAAATCCTGTGGAAGAAAGAAAGTGCCCTTGGAAACCAGGACACCAGCCCTCGCATGGGGTTGGAGCCAGAATTCAAGCCCAGAGAATGACAAGAGCGGAATCTGACTACAGGAAGGTGACAAAGGGTGACAAAATGGATATCCTTGAACACAGAATCCTTAATTCAGAAGACACCTACTGAATGATTTAAGAGTCTGGAGTAACTCAAAGTGGATCAAGGACCTAGGGTTAGATCAGAGACCCTGTGCCTACTAGGAAGAAAAGTAGGCCCAGCTCTCCATCGTGTGGGCCTAGGAATCAAATTCCTCAATAAGACTCTTAAAGCACAAGAAGTAAAATTTAAAAAAAAATTAATAAACAGGATAGCATCAAACTAAAAAGCTTCTTCACAACAAAGGAAAAAAATCAAGAATGTGAAGAGAGAGCCTACAGAATGGGAGAAAATCTTTGCCACCTGCACCCATAGAGCATCAATTTCCAGGATATATAAAGAACTCAAAAAACTTAGCACGCGCACACATACACACACACACACACACACACACACACAAATAACCTAATCAATAAATGGGCAAAGGAACTGAACAGACACCTCACAGAAGAAGAAATATGAATGACCAACAAATATATGAAAAAATGTTCAACATCACCAGCAATTATAGAAATGCAAATTAACACTACACTGAGATTCCAGCTCCCTCCACTCAGAATGGCAATTATCCAGAATACAAGCAACAATGAGTGTTGGTGAGGATGTGGGGGGAAAGGCACGCCCATACATTGCCGGTGGGATTGTAAACTGGTACAACCACTCTGGAAAGTCTGAAGTTTCCTCAGAAAACCTGAAGGCACGAATTGGTATGAATATACTATGTATACAGCCAGAGATATAAAAAACATTGCGCTGTAAATGCTGTATATGTGTAATAAGAATTGCAATGCATTCTGCTGTCATACATAAATAAATATAATAATTTAAAAAATTAATCAACTTGCAGATCATAGATTACCCTTTTAGTTGTGCCATGTAGTTGTAACTTGGTTGTATTTTAAGAAAAGCAAAAGACCAAATGGTCCTTTAAGAGACAAATAAAATGAAATTTAGACCATTAAAAAAATCGTACATCTAGAAAAAAAGAATGTGGAGTACATGTTTGTAGTTAGGAGAAGAAAGGTAGAAGGTAGTAAAAGTGGTAAGTTTTATGTCATGCATTTGTTACCACAACGAAACGGGAAAGCCTGCGAGGTCCGACTAGTTTCCTAGATGCTCCTCTCCCTTTGGACTCTGAACCCGCAGGCCCAGGCCAAGCCCATCGGGCCCAGGGGGTGTCTTTTGTGACCACAGTATTTCTGAGTCTCATATAGAATCCTGGTGCCATCGGGCACAGCCAGAAGCCTGGGTGTGTAGGAAACTGGTTTCTAGACGGAGAGTGTCAAGGGGCGCGTCTTTGTCTTATCCTGCAAGGCCACAGAGGACATTGCGATGTTGATTTTGTATGTCCGCTTGGCTGGACCATGGCACCCAGCTGTTCTGCCAAAAGCCAGTCCCGACGTTGCTGCGAGGCCTTCTGTGGCTGGGATCGACATTTCAGCTAAGACATTTCAGGACTGCACAGAACAGATCACCCACCAAAATGTGGTGGGCCTCGGCCCATCAGTTACGGCCTCAGAGGAAAAGATGGAGGTCCCCGAGCAGGAAGGGGTGGTGGCTCCGAGGGTCTTTGGCTCAAGCTGCAGCATCAGCGTCCCCATCTCCAGCCTGCGGCTTCCAGACTGGCCAGTTCCCCAAACCATGAGGCGATTCCTGGAAATAAGTCTCCGGGCACACTGGGTTCTGCTCTCTGCAGCCCTGACAACAGACATGGCCGTAGCTCTCACTTCAACGCCCTTCCCTGGGCTCGTGGGGCTTGGAATGGGCAGGGCCTGGGGGACCTGGGCACCAAGGGCGTTCAGGGTGGGGCTGCAGGACCCTGAAGGAGACGTGATTCCAGGAGGGGACTCAGGAGGTCCTGTCGGGAGCAGAGTGAGCGCACGGTGGAGAAGCCCGCCCATGCCCGCGCGCACCGTGCTCAAGAGAGACCCCCCACGCCACACACAAGACACTGAGTCTCCAGAAGTGACAGTGCGCCCCTGAATCCAGCCCCACTCCTAGCTGCAGGGCACACACGCGGCTCCACCATGCTGGACGCTCCCAGAGCTCTGCAAAAGCAGGCCCCAGTCCGCCCCAGCTCCTTGTTGCCCCTAATAGTCTAGGAAGCAGACATGGGAGGCCTGTGGGATTGGGAAGCAGAGGCTGAGAAGCTGAAGACGGAGTCCACAGTCACAGGGGCAGCCTGCCGCCATCTTCATGAGTGAGCACCGGCCTGGCAATGTTTCCTGGATATAGGACCATCTGTGGCCATGTGTGGAACCAGGTCAGAGGCCTTCACAACTTCCTGTCCAGTGCACTGACCCAGGGTCACTGCCCCAGACTCGCCCCCACCTGTCACCTCACTGTCTATAGGTGGAATCATCTGTCTAATCCATCTACTCCTGAGGTCTAATCTGTCCTCTATGTAGGTATACAGTATCCACTGGTTACCTCTCCACCATCTCTAAGTATATTTCTACCTACCTACTTTCCTCGAATCTTTTTATCGAAGATGTCACACATTGAATTGCCTCCAGTCTATGTCATCTGTCTGGTATCTATTACCTAGCTATCACCTCTGTCAGCCAACCCTCTGTTACCAATCACAGAGCTAACGGATCTCCTTATGTTTCGTGCATCCTCTTGGGGTGTGTGTGTGTGTGTGTGTGTGTGTGTGTGTGTGTGAGACATTGGGGACTGAGCCCAGGCTGGGGCATGTGACGCAGGCTCTCTACCCCTGAGCTGCATCCCCAGCCCTTTTTATTTCGAGAGAGTCGTGTTTTCCAGGCTGGCTTTGAACTTCTGACCCTCCTTCCTCAGCCCACCCAGTGGCGGGGATGACGGTGTGTGCCACCACACTCAGCCCAGGGAGGCTCTTCTTAATTGATGAGCAGGAAGTCGTGCAGGGACTGCAGACTTTGTAAGTGTCCCTTCCCTTCCCAGAGCAGGTTACTGTTTGGTTAAATAGAAGAAGGGCAGTGGGCAGTGACGAGAAATCAGGACTTTAAAGCACTTGGTGTGAAGCTGCGGCCACATGCAGGATAAAGACGAGGTCATATGACTGCGTCCCCCCATCTCGTCCCCATAACAGATGCCACGGGCTCCCCTGCAGCCCACCATTGCTGCACACTGCAGACCGTCCCTCCCCACAGCTGTCCTTGCCGGGTGACTGTGTCCTCGCTGGGCGACTGCCTGGGACAATCCAGAAAGCCACGGGCCCTTGGTCAACGGCCATCGCTGTGGGAGTGTCAACCCCAGCTCCCTGCCCCTGTGCTGTGACCACCCCGACTCCAGCACCTCCCTGAAGACAACTAGAGATGCCATCTGAGGGCGAGATGGCCACCCTGCTGAGCCTCTTTCCCTCCCAGGCCTCGTCCTGACTCCCCTAAAATCTCACTTTCCCAGTGTCCCTAAGGGCCTGTCTCTCGATGACCCTCACCCAGGAACCCTCCAGAGCAGCACTGAGTCGCGCATCTCAGGGACAGTGACGCCGGCGAGCACCTCTGTTTGGGACCTTTGGGACCGTCCGTGGAAGCACAGAGTCTGCTGCCTCACCTCCTCCTGGCCGTCCCCCCCACTTCCTGGACTATGGCTTCTTTCACCCGCAGTTCCTAAGAAATGAGAAGTAAATCATTGCAAAATCACCCTCCCCACATGGCCCCACAGCCACTGACCTGGCTTCACACTGCGGTGTCCACACAGCCTGGTCAAGTTGCACATCACTGTTTCCAAATGGCCAAAACAAACAACGAAGTGTCCACAATATTGGCATCCCCCGACCGAGCAGTGGGCACGGCCAGAGTGGGGTACGAGTAAAGCCTCAGGTGCCCACAGGGAAGCCGGGCCCCGGGTCAGAGTTAGGTGGTGAAGCTCTTCACCTAGAAGTTGGTGTGAGGGTCCGTTTCTGGAGGCTTTGAGGTGACAATGCAGGGTGGGGACGTCATTCCTCTGCAGAAGGGTATTTTATTCTTTTTAGAACTGTGCCGAGATAAATTTGAACTCAGAAAGGATGTTTTAAGAATTCATATCTGTACCTCCTAGGAGGCCTATAATTTTTTAAAGAGGAAAACATGTGTTCACGAGGAGGTGGAGGTAAACAGAACCTGCCCGTGTTTCTGGTGGGAAGGTGAAATCACACAGCTACGATGGAAATGGCTTGGCAATTCCCAAAAATTAAACAGAAAGTCAGGGCAGGGGCTCACACCTGGAATTCCAGAGACTCAGGGTGCCGAGGCAGGAGGGTGGCATGTCCAAGGACAGCCTTAGCAACTTAGCAAGACCCTGTCTCAAAATGAAAGAATAGGAACTGGGATGGAGCTCAGCGGCACCCCTGGGTTCAACCCCCAGTGCTGAGCTCAGAAACAGACAGACAGACAAGCAGATCACAGATGGGCAGGGCCTGGTGAGGGAGGGACTGCTCAATGGATAGGGGATTTCATTTTGGGGTGGTGAGAATATTCTGGAATTAGATAGTGGTGATGGTTCTACCACCTTGTGAAGACACAAAATGTTACTGAGTGGCGCACTTTACGACAGTGAATAGAAGGAAAAATAAAACCAAAAGGGAAATGAATTATCCAAGAGCTCAAAGCTGCACGTCTCATGAGATGGCCTGCTTGCTTCCGATACTCCCACACTCCTCCGCTCTCTCAGATTTCAGAGTTCCTCGAGAAAACATTCCTGGCATCAACTGCGTCCATAAAGCTGGAGCAGAAATCATTTCCAAGTCTGTTAACATGGAATCCAACCCTATTCAAGACTGATGCTCATCCCGCAAGAGCACACTGGGGGGTACCTTTCCCAAAATAAATTTCACCAGCACAGACTCTCGCGATGCCATTCTCAGTTTCGCCACTGGGCAGATTACAGGAAGGTCATGGGTTGCTGAAAGAAAGGCTGCTTAAGCACGTAGTGGGCCATTAAAGTCTGGGCCAGCTCTTCCAGCCTCCTGCTGCCAACAGCCCTGATTTTGGGGGGAAACTCTAAGGACAGACTCTTAGTCACTTGCTCATGGGGGGGGGAAAAGAACATAATATAGTTTCCTGGTTTTGAGAATTTCAGAGCTTTAAAATGTCTTCAATCACACATTTTCCCAAAGCACTGCAACGCACAGGTCCCCGACCCCAAACAGTCCCCAGATCCACCACAGTTATCACCATGTGACATGGCGGACAATGCTCCTTGTGCTGTGTACCCACCAGCATTTCCAGAACCTGTAAGTGCCTCAGAGATCTTTGCCCCAGAGAAGGCAGCGCTTCCCCCAATAACCCAGAGAAAGTGGGCATTTAGTTCTTGTGCTCTGAAGCAAAGGGGATCCCCGTCCCAGGAAGCAGACCTAATTGGGAAATCACCTCCTTTCTAACAATCTTACCTGTTTTTGTGGAGGGAGCTCCAGGTCCATCAGTTTCATCTAGGAAACAGGATGCAAGGAAAGGAATCACAAAGTTGTATGGGAACGTTGAGGCATTAAGTCCTCGATCCTGCAGAGGGGCTCGGGCCCTCTCTGGGAAGCAGAAGAGAGACCGTCCTCACCATGCCACATCCTCCCGGAGTTGGAAATCATCTTCAATAAGTGACATTTATGAAAGGCATTACTAATCCCATCCCTTCCGTCTCTCTCCTTGTCCATCTTCCCACCTCAGCAGAGACCACCATGGACCCCCACATTCTAAAGCCAACTCTCGAGGACCACCCCGTACTTTCTGCCATCTCTGCAACAGTGAATCCAGCCCAGCACCACAACCAGTAAGTTCTATCTCAAATGTATATCTGAAGCCTGGGGCAGTGACACACAGCTGGAATCCCAATAGCTTCAGGGGCTGAAGCAGGAGGATTGCAAGTTCAAAGTCAGCCTCGGTGACTTAGTGAGGCCCCAAGCAACCTAGCAAGACCCTACCTCAGTAAAAAAAATATAAAGGACTGGGGATGTGGCTCAGTGGCTAGGCGCTCTTGGTTCAATCCCTGGCACCAATATGTATCTTAAAATACAGGTCAGGGTGAGTCCACATCCCACGTCCAGTGGCACTAAGTTGAAATGTCCCCCACCTCCAGCCCCGGAAACGATCACTCTCCTCCGTTTGTGGGAGCTTGCCTGGTTTAGATTCTGTTCACACAGCGTCTGTCTTTCTGTGTCTGGTGTATTTCAGGTGAATCGTGTGTGGGAGGGGCACAAGGTTTCTGATGAACAAGCTCTGGGGGCTGATGAGGAGTGCAGTGACAGATGTGCTCAGTAACCTGACCGTGATAATCATTATCGCCTTGACAACTAAATATGTTAAAATAAAGTGTCCCGTTGCCTGAGATGCAGCTGCCAGCACCCTCCTGGGCTCCTCCAAGCCTCTGCCGTCCCAGAGCCAGAGGTCCTTAAAGCCGGGGCTTCCAGTGCCTCAGAGCAGAGTCTGTGGGCGGGTCAGATACTCCTGCTCCAGGCCACTCGGGCCCCACCCTTCACCCTGCTCTCCCCTCTCCATCTTCCTTTCTGCTTCCCGACCATTCCCAGACATGGGTACTTCTGGGAACTCGCTCCTACTGTTCTCCCTCCTGGATGCCCTTCCCCAGAGGTCAGCATGGCCGGGTCACTCCTGTCCTCCATGCCTGCGGCTCAGACTCCAGGTCCCTCATCAGCCCGAGCTCCTGTGTGCACACCTGTGTGCTGTCCCCTCTCCCTGAGTGCGGGGACCTGTGGCTTGCTTCTAACGACAGATATGCAAAGGTTATGGGATGTCCCTCCAGTGGTGACATTAGTCCACAGGAGATTGTTTTGCTAGGGGAGAAGTCTCCCCCCCCCTCTCTCTGCCTCTCTCCTGTGGGCTCTGGAGAAGCAATGGAGAGGAGAAGCAGCCTCTTCCACAGTCAGGCCTCCAGATGAGAGCCCAGCCCTGCCTGACACCGGGCCGCAGCCTGGGAACCCCGAGCAGGGAACCAGCTAGGTGCTGCCTGGCCTCCCGACCCACCAACACCACGGCATGCATAAACGGCTGTTGTAAGCTGCTAGAGTTGTGGCTAGTTAGTTGGTTAGTTAGTTATCATTTATTCTCCATCTATAACTTTTTTTTTTTCATTGAACCCAGGTGCACTCTACCACTGAGTCACTTCCCCAGTCCCTTTATTTTTTTATTTAGAGACAGAGTCTCTCTAAGTTGCCCAGGCTGGCCTTGAATTTGCCTCCTCCTGCCTCAGCCTCCTGAGTAGCTGGGATTACAGGCTTGCACCACCACACCTGTAATTATCTACTATCTGAGAAGCTGGGATTACAGGTGTGCACCACCACACTTGGTTTATCTATTATTTTTTTAAAACATAAGCTTCATATCTTCTTATTTATTTTTTTTTCTCCCCCCAAAAATGATGTATGCTCCTATTGACCAAGAGAACTGATCTGTCTGTTACTGCTGATACTACACATCAAAGTTTCTAGGTTTGTAGGGTAAATGAACAGCCATTTTGTGCTGTATACTTTTAATTTATTTTCTTCTGTAACAGAAGCATTCATGTTCTCATTTTGTAATAGGTGAGGGGCAATAACGAGAAAGTGGTTTGCAAAGCAACAAACGTTCTGAATGGAGAAGGAGGTCTGAATAATTGAATCACTGAAAAGTGGTAGTATAGCCTGTCTGTTGGCATAACAGGCAGCTAAGAAAGAGAGGATCAGGGGAGAATAGACAATCTGCCAGCAAACAGCTGGGACCTGGCAAACTAGCACCACGACTTTAGGTCTAAAGTATGGATAAAAAAAAAAATTCTTAAGACTGCAAGAAAAAGTTATTAGGGATAAAATAGGAAATTAATTTCAGGGTGAGGAACACATGGCTGGAGCACCAATTATCTTGAGCCTTACAAAGGGGTAAATCAAAAATCAAATGTTGTCTTCAAGTCCCAAGTCCAAGCTAAGCCACAGATGTGGATACGTGGCTACTTGTACACACGCTGGTTATTGTGAGGTTCCCCAGGGATTCTCCTACTGGGAGCAACTTCGATCACTTGAAGAAGAATGTTGAGTGATTGGTAGACAAAATGATGGAGGGATGGATGGATGATGAGTGAATAAATGGATGGATGGATGGATGGATGGATAGTTGGAAGAAAGGATGGATGGGTGGATGGATGGATGATGTGAAGATGAATGATAGATAGAAGGATAGTTGGAGGAAAGGAAGGATAGATGGATGGATGGATGGATGAAAAAATGCAAAAAAAAAATCACCCCTTATGCTCCTTCCTTGAGATCTCAGGTGCTTATGCAGCCACCTCCCATGAGCCCCACATTCCACTGGTCACCTTCCCTACGTCCCTCAGAGTGTACCGGTCATTCTTTCTGGCTTTTCTTTGGCATTAATAGGAATTAATTTTAAACTTATGTTTGAACAGCATTGTGAGGCTAATTATCTTTGTGTACCTAGGAGGTCACCCCTAATCTCTATAAGCAAAAACCACCCTCATAGGGAGAGACGACTGAACACACTAATGGAGGTAAGTTGCTTATTGTAGAGTCTGGAGCATAGAAAACGCTGGACACGTGCCCAAAGTCAGCGTCATCACCTGAATCCTCACCTGTCGCCTGCATCTCCAGGCGGCTGCTGCGGGAGGAGCCCAGGTGTGGCCAGTCGCACTGGTAGTACACACAGCTGTAGTTTCCCCTGTCCTCGCTCGACTCGCGGAGCGTGAAGTCGGTTTGGTTTTCTCTCCCCTCCTTGACTCGCACGGGGTCTGGGGTGCCTGTTCTCAGCAGAGCGGTGATGAGGCACTCAGAGCCATTGTTTGGAGTCAGGCATCGCAACGTCCTGTGACCTGGAGCAGCCTCGGGGTCTGCACTGACTGAGAGGGAAGGTGCTGGCCAGGATCCTGGAGGAGGAGGAGTGAGGGGAAGAGCCAGGGCTGAGAGGCCCCACATGCCTTGGGGCCTTGGTGGCCTTGAAGGGACTCCCCTTAACAGCTGGGCTGGTTAATCCCATTGTCAGGCTTTGGCTTTCCAGTGCCAATCACCCCATCCAGAGCCCCATGCCAGCCCCCTGCTCCACGGGGCTCTCATACTCAGGACCACAGCCCCCCTCCCCACCACCCAGGACCAAGTGCAAGCCACCAGGAGCACCCCGGGACAAGGAGCGGGTCCCAACCTACTCTTTCCCATGGAAATACAAGGTGGCTCTTGCCCGCAGTTCTCCCTCCCTCTGTGGCCTGAGCAGCCCTGGCTCCCTGCCATGGAGCCTCTGTGGCGCAGTGAGCTCCTCCCCAGGCACTGAGTCACCAGCTGTCTCAGCGGCAGGTGTCTCCTCGACTGATGGCCTCCCTGTACCTTGAACCCTTAATTAATTGATTATATTCTAAAACTCCCCCCACATCCGCATCATGAAGACCCCCGGGAATCCCCACACTCGGCTCCCACCTCCCCGGCTCCCCCCAGGTCTCTCTTGGCTCCTGGATTCCTTCTTCCCAGCCCACTGCAGCAGAAGGAGGTGATCTCAGGCCGCCCCCTCACCTGTGACCACTAGCTGTAAGCGCTGGCTCTGCTCTGACCACTGGCCGGTGGCTGCCGTCTTGTAGGCACAGAAGTAGGCCCCGGCATCCTCAGGCTGCAGGCTGGCCAGGGGGAACTCAGCCTTGGTTTCTGCTGAGCTCTGCTCTTGCTTGAACCCGGGGTCGTGCAACTTCCCCAGCATGAAGGTGGCATTCTGGAAACCAGACTGGCACTGCAGAGTCACACTGCTCCCCAGTTCCACCACAGAGCTAGGCCAGGCACAGAGCGAGGGCCTGGGAAGTTTCTCTGGAAAGAATTCAGAGTTAACTGCATCTTCATCTGGAATCAGGAGGATTGGAGGAGAAGGCCAGAAAATGTGGAGCGCAGGAACGCCAGGGGACCGGGGGACACTCACCGTTCTCTCCCTGGTCTGCAAGGCCCAGGCACAGCCCTGGAAGAGAGGATGCGATTGAGAGGTGGCTGTGCGCCTGGCTTCGCGTGCAACCAGGAGAGAGCGCAACAACCCAGGTTAACCTCTGTAGGTCCCCATAGTTCCCCGGCTTGCTCCGGGCCTCACTGTTGTCATTCAGAAGTTGCGCACAGAGGGACACTCCCACAACCCTTCCAGGTGATCGCTTTGCTTTCAGGATCAGTCCCTTCACCAGGTAGAAATCACTCACCTCGGCCTCCCCCCTCCCCCCTCGCACGGCGGGCCAAGGTTGTGGTTCTCAGTCACACACTTACATAAATGCAAAGGTCGCTTTACCGTGGGGGTGTGCAGAGGGTTTTCTACTCCTTCAAAGGGACCCCTTGCCTCCCTGGAGATTCAGGCCCCTCCCTCAGGCTGGCCAGCTGCCTGCTCTAGCCCCCCTTCTGCTCCTTCTTGAGGTCTTCCTGGGAAGGGAGCCTGAGGAGCCCCCGGGGGAATGGGACACCAGCCTGGAGCGTTTTTCGGGGGGAAGCTAGTACGTCTCTGGAGCACCAACTGTCTCAGGCTGTCTGTCCTTGTTCTGAACCAAGTGGTGAGTCAGAGCACGGACGCCAGCCTCCCCAGGAAGGAGAGAGGCAGGGCCTTAGACAGGACTTCAGCTGTGTGAGCGTGGGTAGGGCCATGAGGGTAGGTGGGGACTGTCCTCCAGGGGGACCCATGTCAAGGGGCCCGTGTCAACCTGGCTCTGCTCTCTGCAAGCTTCTCTTCAGTACCTATAAACTGGAGCTAGTTTTTGGTGATCCGGTAGTTGGGAGTTTGCATTACCATCCTCTTCTGGGGAGCTCAGTTTCTTTCTTTCTTTTCTCTTTTTGTTTAGGGGATTGAACCCAGGGGCACTAAACTCTGAGCCACACCCCCAGCCCTATTTTGTATTTTATTTAGAGACAGGGTCTCACTGAGTTGCTTAGTGCCTTGCTTTTGCTGAGGCTGGCTTTGAACTTGTGGATCCTCCTGCCTCCGGAGCTGCTGGGATTACAGGTGTGCGCTTCTGTGCCTGGCTGGGGAGCTAGGTTTCCAGTGTTGCTCTTCCCACTTGACGGAAGGCAACAGCCCCTAAACAGCGTGGGAACTGCACGGCTCTGCATTGGAGTATGGCAACACACACACAGAGACGGTACAGATGTTAAAATTGTAGCTGTAGGTAAATGCTGAGAGTGTGTAGAAGACCTGCTACTGGATTACCAAAAACTAGCTACAGTCTGACAGGTCCTTTGAACACAGCACCTGGTGAGATCTACACTTCTCTGTAGAGTTATTCAGCCACAGAAAAGAAGGGAGTACGATTTATGCTACGATGTGGGTGAACCTCAGAAACATGATGCTAAGTGAACAAAGTCAGGCACCAAGGCCACCAGGATATAATTCCATTTTATGCTACATCCAGAACGGGAGAGTCCGGAGAGACAGAGTGGATGCTGGGAGCAGCGACCAACATATGGGGAGGAAGCACCAAAGGTCCTGCAGGCTGTTGAGGGTCTCAGAACCTGACAAGGTGCTGCTGAACGTCACCAGTAGAGACTCAGTCACCACCTCATACACTTGGAAGTAATAACTTTAAGATTTTATGTGTATTGGTGTTCTTACCCTGTCTAGTCAAGACCTACATAAATTTAAATATTAAAAGTTCACCCCAAATAAAATGAAGCGGAAGACTGATAGGTGGCTCTGGCTCACGTGCACGCCTTGCCTATCTGTGCCGGGCAGCGCCAACACTCCAGGCTGTGTTCTCCTGGCTTTCCTGTCTGGTTCCCTTGGGACGCCGGCTGGAGCAGAAGGGGCCCAGGAACAGGGTTGTAGGAGCTACAGTCTTGCATCTTTGTAGGTCACACTCGGGGAGGAAAGAAGTCCCCATCTCACTGCTGGTCTAAAAACGTCCAGCAGTGTCAGACTGGCCCGTCCTGTGTCACAGACCTGCTTCTAGAAGAGTATTACAGCCAGAGGAGGAGGGTGTTAAAGGTTCACTTGTGTCCCCAGGAGACACACTTACAAACGTGAAGAGTTAGGCTAAGTGGGGCCATCCTCTGATGTGACCGCTGTCCCTGTAAGTGGAGGATAAGAGACACAGAGACGAAGAAGGGGGGGGGGGCATCCACACACAAGCTGAGTAAGGACAGAGGCAGAGATTGCAGCGATATATCCACATGGCAAAGAATACTCATGATCGCTGGTGCCAGAGCCAGGCAGAGGGGCAGGGAGCAGAGCCCCTCGGCACCCTGGTAAGGAATGGGCATTGCCAGCACTTGAGAGAGAATAGTTCCCATTATGCCAGGTTGGCTGTGCTGGGGTTCAGCAGCCACCTAAGGAGCACAGGGCGGAGGAGGGCACCTCTGGGCTACCCTGTTCCCTCTGTCCACACCTTGCTTTTCACAGTGTCGGCCGTTTGATAAGGGTAGGCTCAAACTGAGGACAGCCCCTGTCCGCTGTAGCCCATAGGGACGCCCTCCGCAAGAGGTCACAGTCAGAGGGCAGCCTTGGAGATGCCCGCGGAGCACTGCCTTTCTTCTGGAGTAGGCTGGGAGTCCCCGAGCCCTGCACCTGGGCTCCCGTCTCTCAGGATGCGCACAGCCAGAGGCGGCCAGCTCTGACGCACCCCACGCAGGGCCATCCATTCCTGCACTCCACCTTCCCCGGCGTGAACCCACTCCCCATCCAGCCCTAGCGCCCACTGGAGACCTACCGAGGCAGAGCAGCCACAGGGATTCTGCGCTCATAGCGCCTTCTGCCGGAGCCCGACCGACCCTGGCTTCAGGCGGAGCAGGCAGCGTTCTCCCCGCCTGCCCGCCAGGAGCCCAGACCAGAGGATGAGGCTTTGCTCTGATGCTTTGGATCTGTCATCACCGGGTGCAGCGTTTCCTTCTTGCAACTCAGGAAGCCAGAAGCCAGCGGTAACCACACGTTCCACAGATGCTGGGGTGTGGCTCCACCTGCCCCGCCTCCTGGGGGTCCTGCCCAGCAACGTTGTAAACTAATTTTGAACAAATATTTCTTTATTATATTTATGTATTATATATGTCTACATCTTCATTAAGATGTTTTAATTTTGTTGTTGTTGCTTTTAGCTATTGGAGATGGTTACAGTTTCACACACAAAAGAGTCATCATTCCTTGTTATCTGACAGAGTTTGTTTCCAGAGTGACCCCAAACCAAAATCCGAGGATGCTCAAGTCCCTTATGGAAAATGGGGCAGTGTTGGCATGTAACCGAGGCACAGCACACAACCACAGCATGCTTCCAAGTATCTGGATGACCTGTGATACCCGATACAGGGTAACCGCTCCAGGAACCATTGTTACCCCGTGCTGCTTAGAGAATACACACAAGGACGCTTCCTCGGGGCAACTTCTCCAGAATATCCTCCATCCCTGGTGGAATCTGCCAGCGTGGACCCGCGGCTCTGAGTGCCGACTGCAGCAGAGCACCCACGTCCCCTTCAGCCACCCACCCAGTGGTGACATAACCACAGGACATTTTCAACACCAGAGAGCCGGCATCTGCACAGACAACCCACAAGGTCACCGATGTCTCTCAGACGTCGCCAGTCTCTCTGCTCATCACAGAATAAGGATAACAATAAGGGCGGCGGGGCTTACAAGTGATGGATGTGTGTCTGTCCTTGGTGGAGATGACTTCACAGGTGTGCACTTACCCCAGACTCACTGGGTGGTAGACATTAAATATAAAGTTTTTTACATGTCAGTCCCACCTTAATAAAGTGCTTTAAAATTTTATTAGTTTAGCTTCATTTTTAATTGACAGATAATAACTGGATATACTTAGGATGTACAATGTGATGCTTCAGTACATGAGCACAGTGTAGAATGACCAAATGAGAGTGAGGAGCTCATCTATCACCTTAAAAATGTATCATTTCCCTGGAGTAAGAATATCTGAAATCTCTTTCCTGAAATGGTCACAAGAATCAGCATCCAAATACTCCAGAACCGGAGGGGACAAGTCTCCCAGCAGCAGATCTGAGCAGCATCGTGTGGAACTTGCAGGCATCTCAGCCCGTGGGGCTCAGGAACGGGCAGGGTCGGAACTCGGGCAGAGTCCTCTTCTGCCTGTGTCCTGTTCAGTGCATCTTATTTCTAAAAATAAATTGTGGATCTGGGGGGAGGCTGTGGGTGCCAAGGACAGACCTAAGTTCAGAAGAGGATCACTGATTCTCCGCGCCTCCAATACAGGTTCTAGATGGAGATGGAAGTGTGGCAGGGAACCCAAACCAGGTGAGCCCCTGTGGACGGGAGACAGCATCCTGAGCCCTGGAGCCCCTCGCCTGAACCAGCTGCCCTGGAGGTGAGGGAATCCAGCTCTGAGGCCATTTTTCATGCTCCATTAGAAACTGGGTAGCGTTGCTGGCAAAGATGCGATTAGGGCCAGCAGTGAGCCGGGCTCTAAATCAAACCTTCCCATAGGTTACAATTATTGGCAATGTTCACTCGTGTGTGTTTACAGGGTTAAGGGTATCTTCAAGCCAGATTCTAAGAGAGAGTGTGGATATGGAGTTTTGATAGATAGCATCCAATTTTTCTCTTGAAAGGTGGAGTGGGGAAAGGCGAGAGAGTATTCCACAGGTACCGAGTCACCATCCGTCAGGAGGAGTTCCCAGCGACTGCACAGCGAGGTGACATAGTTAATGGTAATGGATGGTATGTTTCAACAGCCTTGTAAGGATTTTGTTTGTCAATTATCTGTCAATAAAACTCAGGGGAGGCTGGGGATGCAGCTCGGTGGTACAGCACTTGCCTATCATGGGATGAGGGGCCCTGGGTCGGATCCCCAGCACTGGGGGGTCGGGAAGAAGATGTGGTGGTGCACACCTGCAATCCCAGGCACCAGGAGGCTGAGGCAGGAGCAGGAGCATTGCAAGTCTGAGGCCGGCCTGGGCAACTTAACGAGACCCTCTCTCAAAATAAAAAGGGCTGGAGATGTTACTCAGTGGTAAAGCACCCCTGGGTTTGATCTCTAGTACTGAGAGAGAGAGAGAGAGAGATTTTCCTTGGTGTTCTTCGCCCAGACTGGCTGTAAAACCAGAGCTCTATCAACTGTGGCCACTCTTGACCAGACAGCAGCCCAAAGCCTCCTAAGCAGGAGTGAGTGGTGAGCCTCTCCCTGGGATGGTGGGCTAGACAGCCCTCCTGCTGCCTGAGCACACCAGGAACATCTGGGTGAAGAAGGCCAGGCACAGGGGACAGCCAGGACGAGCCCTGACACCAGGGCAAAGGGCACTGGAGAGAGGCAACAGAAATAGGAAGGGAAACCAGAAAACTGGGAAGGGAAACCAGAAAATTGAGTCCTTCACCAAGGGGTGGGCAAACACATTTCTTAGCTAGGATACAGAAGGTTTTCCCATAAAGGAAAAATATTCTTGGTTTCTCAGTTTCACCAAAATTCAAAACTCTTGCTTTTCAAAAGATGTTAGGGGGCTGGGAGCTGGCTCAGTGCAAGGCCCTGGTTCAACACTTAGTATAGAAAGGAAAAAAGAAGTTAAAATCTGAAGATAGGGCATGGACTGAAACCAATAATTGCTCAGCGTATATGGGCTGAGGGGCTTGTGTCCAGATTGTGTGTATCTTTACGTTGCAAAGTTAAGAAGATAAAGAATTCAGCTAAGCATGCCCCAGGACCCGGGCTCCATCCCCAGTACTGCCCCCCACCAAAAAAGAACTCAACTAAACATAAAAGTGGATAAAATGTCCAATCAGCAACTTATCAGGAATATAAGTATGTATTATAATAGATGAGATGCATATATATATATATTATGTATAAATGCATAATATATATATATAAATCATGTATATTTTATATTCTCAACATACACTCTTAGGAAAAGGAAAAACAAAGCCACAATGACCAAACTGATAGAATTGGGATCACAGAAAAGGTTCATACATACATGGGCTTTGGCTTAGAATCCAGGTGACATGGCTGTGTCAGTAGAGAAAAGAGCTCCTACGTTTTATTATGATAATCATAAAAATGCTTTATTGGTGAGGGTGCCAAGCCTGTCCCTGTCCCAGGTAAGGAGTCAGGAAGAGGGAGCCATTATTCAAGGAGCTGGGAGACCCGGTGGCACAGGACACTGTCTCAGACCAGCTGACCCAACTTGTCCAGGATTTACGGGTGCACTGGGGATCTGGGGGGAGCCTGTGGGTGCCAAGAACAGACCTGAATTCAGAAGAGGATCACTAACGTATCCCCACCTCTAACACAGGTTACGGCGGCCCCCCTCCGCCTCCCCTCCTCCCCTCAGGTGCTCGCGAGCTGTCATGGAGGCTAACGGCTCCTTGTTAAATTCTACTATGACCGGGGCTTCACTGGCACCCCATAACAATTTAGAGTCTGTCCCTAAAATGAATAAGACAGTCGCACATGGTGAAAAGAACAGTCTACCTAATCTGCCATCTGTACCCGTGTGGAGGAACCAGAGAGGGCCCCGGGTAAGTTTGGTGCTCAGAGAACCCGGGCGGGTGGAGCACCGGGTGGCTGCAGTCAGTGGCGCAGCACCAGGTCGCTGAACTTTGCTGGAACAGTGGATCTTTACGAACAGCTGCTTGGTGGCAATCATCTATCTCACCAGGAGTGGGAGGACGTATTTAGTGCACAATAAATGACCTGATTCTTCCTCCCAGGCTGACTGAGGCAAATAAAATTGGCAAATAAAAACAAGCGGACGTGGCAATAGTGTATTCTGTTTCTGTTCACCAGAGACACCCCTCCAACCGTGGGGGCGTCGCTGCAGCTGCCCGCCATGGGCGGTGCTCAGCTGCCTTACCTGGCCGAGCGTGTGGCACCCCGCTAGCATGCCAGGCTTCCAGCACGAGGACCACCCCCATCAGCAGGACGCCGGCCGCCACTCCCAGCCGCACCAGGTTGCCCTTGGTGTAACCCTCGGACGAGGCCCTCGGGGGAACTGAAAGAAAGGCCAGCAAGGCCGTGAAGGCCTCCCTGTTGCTGGACTTGGCCCTGGAGAAGCGCAGCTTGGTGTTGGCCCTGGCTCCTGTCCTGGCTTCAGCCCACCCCAGGAGCCCAAGGCTCACCTCATGGGCAACAGGGTTCCCTGCAGGCCGAGTCCCTAGGGAAGACAGCAAGTCCCTCGCAGGTCGGGGAAGCCCTCTGCTGCTCTCACCAACGACCATAAAGACCTAAAGACCTTACCTCTTCCCTTTCCTTTTTTCTTTTTTGGTACCAGGGATTGAACCCAGGGGTGCTTAACCACTGAGCCACACCCTCAGTCCTTTTTATGTTTTTGTTAGAGATAGGGTCTCACTGAGCTGCTGAGGCTGGCTTTGAACTCCCGATCCTCCTGCCTCAGCCTCCCGAGTCACTGGGATTACGGGCGTGCACCACTGCACCTGGCCAGACCTTTATTTCTTACTATAAAACAGTCGCACTCCGCACACAGTCTCAAGGCACAAAAGAGAATTCACAAAGCTGAAGGAGGGGAGAGGGCAGCTGGCCTCGCCACCTGCTGGCCTGGACGATCACTCAGTCCTAACAGTGGCCCCAGAGACAAGAGACCCGAGGAGAACATGCGCCAGACCAGGTGGAAAATGGAGAGTCCTTGAGAACAAGATCCGATCCCGAGGACCACACGGACCCGCAGAGATGCAGGGAACCCGAGAGGCAGGATTCAGGATGTGGAAGGACGGCGCAGGGGTCACCAAGGGCCAGAAGCAACCGAGGAAAGGAAACTGGGGAAGGGAAGGCTGTTAAGAGAAGTGACAGACTAAGAGGTGACAAAGAGCTCACCTGTCACCAGGATGTCCAGGGCAGGGCTGGGGTCCGAGGCCCAGAAGGGAGCCCTTGCCTGGTAGTAGATGCAGCTGTAGGTCCCCGTGTCATTGACTGTCACGCCCTGAAGGGAGAAGTCTGACTCCGACCCCACTGGTCTGTGCAGCTGCACGGGCGACGGGGTCCCGGCCTTCAGTAGGGCAGACTCCAAAGGCCGCACGATGGTGCTGGGTATCTGGCACTGCAGGGTCACCTCTCCCCCTGCGGTCACCTGGCCCACATGATGGGCCTGGAGGGAAGGTTTAGGCAAATACCCTGCAAGGGAAGGTAGCTCTGAGGTCCTGGGGAAAGGCCCCCCCCACCCCCCCCCCCCCCCCCCCCCCCCCCACCCCCACCCCCGGCCTGGCAGGCACCCCCCGCCCCACCTCCCCTCCCCCACTGTCTGCTCTGGATTCAGGACAGAGATGTCCCCTCCCACAGTCCTGGATGAAGCCAAGGGATCCAGTCCTGTCCCAGCCCCTCCCCAGATGCTCTGGAGATGACAGCCCAACCCCTCCCCCTCTTCCTCACCTCCATCCGTCCATCTGAGGGTCACCACATGCTATTCTGGGCAACCCCTCCTCTCACCTGTGACCAAGAGCAGAAGGACATTGCTGAGCTGAGAGGTCACACCAGAGAACCCTCTCCAGAAGCATTCGCAGGTGTGTGGCCCAGCACTCCGGGGTCCTAGCTCAGTGAGAAGAAACTCGGCCGTTGTCTTAGTGGGATCCAGTGGCAGCCTGGAATCCAAAATATCAGGTCCCTTTCTGAGAATGAATCGGATCCCCGGGACGGGGCTGGAGCACCGCAGAGTCACGTTGCTCTTGGCGGGGACCACGGAGCTGGGCCAGGCGCTGAGGGTGGGCTTGGGAAGGGAGCCTGGAAGGAAGCAGAGCTCAGGGCTGGGTCGCAGAAGCCCAGTGGGAGAAAGGGTAGGGCTGGGGACGTTCTTGCTCAAGGACCCGGCAGCGTGGGCAGAAGCATCACTCACCATCTCCTGGGGGGTCTCTTTGGCCAACACACAATCCTGCAAAAGAGCCTGTGAGGAAGCTGAGCCAACCCTGGCTCACACTCTGGATGCAGGTCCCGGGGCTGCGCGTGTGCTGCCGGGTCTCCTCCACCCCTCGCCAGCCTCCCGTGCTCCCACCTGCGCTCCCCGGGCTCCGACAGAGCCTCTGTTCTCATCTTCTATCCCCAGGTTTCACGTATTCCCACCAAGTCCGCCACAGCCTGGGGCGCAGGGTCCGAGCCCCCTGCCTTGACCCCAGGGGAGGGCTCCCTGCCAGGCAGACTGTTGGGGAGGATTCAGGCCTGGGGGACCATGACTGCTCCTGAGGACCTCAGGACCCTCTGCTGGAGTAGGAATCTCCTGTAGACTCCCGGGACCGAACAGCCCTCATAGGCTTGGTACCTCGGGTGACGTGGATGAAGACGAAACCACTTGGTCGTCATAGTTAGGAGCTGAGAGAAGTGTCCCTGCCCCATGCCATGGAGCTGCTGTGACAGAGCAGCAGGAAGGCTGGTCTCTGTGTGGCCCCCAGGTCTGTCCAGGCCCTGGCTCCTGGTCGGCCATCAGCAGCACGTGTTGGCTGACTGGTGATACGCCCCATGATGGGGTTTGAGTGTGTCCCCTAAAGTCTCTAGTGCTGGAGGTTAGTTAGGTCCCCAGGGAGCAGTACTGAGGTGGTGGCACCTTTGAGAAGCAATGCGATCACAGGGCAGCGCCTGTGAAGGTTGATGCCCTTCCCACAGGACCAGGTCAGCTCCCCCGCCAGCACACATGCCCCTTCTCTGCCAGGCAGGACAGGGCACTCTTGCCAGATGCCAGTGCCATGCTGTTTGGACTTTCCAGCCACCAGGACGGGAGCTGCTCCAGTGTGGATCTGCAGCGTCCCCCCAGGCTCGTGTGCTGAGGCCTGGTCACTGGGGGTGTGCTCCTGAAGGGGTGATGGGGACCCTGGCCCCTTCCCATGTGTCTCCTTTTGCTTCCTGGCCACTGTGGGATGAGCAGCCTCCTCCACCGTGGGCTCCCGCCATGATGTACTGTACTGACACAAGCCCAAGGCCACGTGGAACCGACCCTGAGCTGAATCTTCTGAAACAACAAGCCAGAATACACCTTTCTTCCTTCTAAATTGATTCCCTCGGGCACTTGATATCACCAACAGAACGCCCACTACAGCAGGAGCCACAGCCTCAGGTAATTTGTTATAGCAACACAAAGCAGACCACCGCTCAGTTTTAGCATTAGTCATATTTTACAAGGATGGGCCCGGGTGCTCCTGGCCACAGCACCCCGTCTTCCTCCCTTGCTTCCGATACTGCACCATCATATCCACCTGCTGGGGCGAAGGACTGGCTCTTGGGGAGGGCTAGGGGAGCCAGCCTTTACTCTAAACCTGAAGGACTTCTGACCCAGTGTTTACCATTACTTCTTTTCATGTTTGGTGCCCTGTGTAAGCCTCAAAAAAATCCAAACAGATAGTCCAGAAAACACAACCTTGCCCACCCACAGGTAGCTGCACTTGTGGGATGTTCCATCTGGGTGGTCTTACCCTGGGCTGCCCACTGGGCTGGGGACCTGGGAAAGTCCAGTGCACAGAGCCAACCCAGAAGCACGAGTCAGGATCCCTGGGATGGGCTCGGGCCCGGGCACTTTTCCACATGCCCCTGGTGATTTGAATGAGAGGCAGGGGGGGAGCACCCCACTCTAAATGAACCTGACCCGCACCTCTCAAGACTCGGACATCAACTGATGCAAAAAGAAACTTCTAAGTGAAGGTGTCTTGACACAGGTGACCATTCACAGTGGTCCTGCCCTAAGTGCCCAGACACGGGGGACTCGGTTCTGCCTGAGTGCCAAGACCTCTTTCAAATGAACATCAAGCCTGAGTATGGACACTATCATAATAAAGAGATTGGGCTGATTCAAAGAGATTTCCTCTTTTTCCTCCACTGCGGAGCAAACAGTTTTGTGTCTTAGTAGTAAAAGGAGGAAGTTTCTAGGCTTTTGTGCTAAAATTACATACAAGAATCGGTTGAAAATACATTTCATGTTTTAAAAAGGGAAGTAATAAATAGCTAAATGGAGGAAAATACCCAAGTGCCCGTCGACTGAGGAATGGATAAGCTAAAGGTAGTCCATCCTCAAATAGAATGTTATTCTCACACATACACTCACACACACACACACACACACACACACACACACACGAACAAGGAAATGTCGACATGCCAGGCCATGGTGGGCAGACCTTGAGGACGTTGCGCCAGGGGGAGGTGCCAGGAAGAGAGGACATGCACGGTGCCCCTCCTACAAGATACCTAGACTAGGTAACTCATATGAACAGAAGAGGGACAGGAGAAGTTTGCATTTGGCAGTTTGGGGGACGTCTCTGCTTCTGCCACTTCGAGAACCAGCTCCTTGGAAAAAGTCCCATTCTAGATCTAGATCTGTGTCTATGGAGCTATATGTTATCCCACCTACAATGAAATACTATTCAGCCATAAAAAAGAAGGAATGAGATTTCCATGCAGACAGCCATGGAAGCTCTCTCAAAGAAACAGTTGACGGAATCAGTCCCTAACCAAGTCAGAGACGGAAGAATAACAAAAAGTATCATCATTAGCCAGGCATGGTGGTGCACCCCTGTAATTCCAGCTCTCAGGGGTCTGAGGCAGGAGGGTGGCAAGTTTGAGGCCAGCCTGGGCAACTCAGCAAGACCCCATCTCATAAAAAAAATCAAGAATCATTTTTGAGCACTGTTCACTCACACACGAACCTGTTAAGCTGACCTTGAAAGAGGAGGAAACGGAGTCCTAAGTATTGACACAGCGTCCTGACACCCTACAACTGGTGCACCCAGGAGTGAAGGTTCTGGAACCCTGCTACCTGCCCAGTCCCCCCAACACATCTGAACACCTCTTCCTTAGACAGGCCTCTCACAGAAGAAAAGCTCCGGGAACCTGAAGTTTTGGGGTCAAAGAATCAGAGTGACGGAAGGACCCCAAGGCCACATCAAGGCCAGGAGGCTTTCTTCAGGGCTTCGGGGGATCCTTGTTTCTAAAGGTATTTTTCCGGGGTTGCGTTCTGGCCCCACAGCTGGGCACATTCTGAACTACTCTAACTCCTCAGATTTCTCCAGATCCAAGTCCCTTCCCATACCCCCAGGACACACCAAGGACCTCTTCTATACATGCCCCTCCCAGGGGACCTCCGTGGCTGTGTGGAAACATTGACCACGTGGCGTCAGACGGTCTTGTTTGGAAATTCAGTTTCCCTGAATCCGTGCAGTCCTAAGCAAGTCCCTCTACATTGCAAATACAGATTAAATTCCTAAGCTGTAAAAGTGGACCGAACTTGCTTTTGCAGGGCTCTTTAGGGGCTGGGGATAGAACAGAATGGTGTTCCCCAAGTATGGCACCAGTCCCACAGGTGTTCTATGCAATGATTTCAGGTGGGAGGAAGGGCGAGTAAAGTATCGAATCCTACCTGAAAACTCTGTTATCTGTGGGGCTGGGGCTGGGGATGTGGCTCCGTGGAGAGCACCTGCCTGGCATGTGTGAGGCCCTGGGTTCCATCCTCAGCACCACATAAATAAAAAATAAAGGTCCATCAACAACTAAAAAATATTTTTTTAAAAACCTGTTATCTGTTATCTTCTGATGTCTCTTGTATTACTTTTGATTATAACAGGAAGAAATTCCATTTGAAGCCAGCCTCTCTATACTGCCGTCATAGCTAACTGCCTCCTTAGAAAACAGCAGGCAGCAGGCTCAGAACCGTGGCCAGCAACGGCGCAGGGTCGGAACCCCGGACCTTGTTTCCTCTGCCTCTTATCTACTTTACAGTTACCTTCCGCTTGACATCGGACTTTAATTACGACCCTGATATAAAGTCTCTATCTTCAACACTTTTACTTACACAAAAGGCTGAGTGATATTGAGAAGACCAAAACCCCCGGGCAGCCTGGTGCAGAGGCACTCAGCAAAACCAGGAGGTTGGCACGGGCTGGAACTCGTGCCTCCCCTGCATCACCAAGGTCCAGCTCTTCCCTGTGACTCCTCTCTCTATCCGTCCCCAACCTCTCACCACTAGGAGACTTTCTGCAGCCCCAGGGGATGGCCCCGGGACACTTACTGAAGCAGAGGAGGGACAGGAGCCGTGGGATCATGTCCGCCTGCCAGCTGTTCCAAGCGTCCTTCTTGGTTTTGCAGCCCACAGACCAGCCACAGCCTCCCTGACCCAGGAAGTGGCCTTGCAGTCCCTCCCTCCAGCAGGCACATCAGGAAGCATGCTGATTTCAACACGGTCCTCACACACCCGCCTTCAAGGGCCTGACTCACAGCAAACCCTGCTCGGCCTCAGTCGCACGTCGGGCCTCCGACAGGAAACCCCCAAAAGCTTAGCACTGGGGCCTGCAGAGTTGGTCCCGAGGAGGTGCAGGCACCTCGCTCTTGAGAACTCGGCATTCTGCACACGTGAAGCCACTCGACGCCGGCTAAATCGTCCTGCCCTCACACGGGCCATCAGGGTGTCTCGCTCAGGAAGATTCACAGAGCCCAAGGGGACTTTCCACCCACAGGCCACACCGGTGAGTGCAGAAGGCCAAGGCGGACTTGCTTTGGCTTTGCTTTCGGGTGGCGTGAGGCTCAGAGGTACAGTGCTCGCCTAGCACACATGAGGCCTTGGGTTCGATCCCCAGCACCACAAAAATAAAATACGTAAACAAATAAAAAAAATATTCACTTGAAACTTTCATTTGAAATTAGGTAAGGATTATTTCGACTCTACTGATGTCCCCTGTGTCTTTCTGATGCCCCCTTCTGCCCCCATCTTATTCCTCTCCAGCTTCCACACATGAGAGCAAACGTTGGACCTTGACTTCCTGAGTCTGGCTTATTTCATTCAGCATGACGTGCTCCAGTTCCTTCCATTTACCAGCAAAGGACGTCATTTCACTCTTCTTGATGGCTGGATGGAGCTCCATTGTGTATCTAAGCCACGTTTTCTTCACCCACTCACCTGTTGGTGGGCACCCGGGATGAGTCCACAGTCTGGCCATTGTGAGTTATGCTGCTATAAACACTGATGTGGACATCGAGAGGGAGGGAGGAGGGACGGGAAAGGGGAGGGAGAGTGGGATGAATCCAACAACCCATGCTATGTGCATATGTAAATATACTACAGGGGATGCAGAAAGCCCAATTAAAAATAAATAAATGAACAAGTGAAAGGAAGATCAATAGAGGAAGGAGGGTGGGGGAGGGAGGAGGGGAGGGAGGAGGGACTGAAATCAAATTCTATACGTGTATGATTTTGTCAAAATGAACCCAACTCCTGTGCATCTCTATAATGCTCTCTAATTTTTAAGAGGATCATTTCTGATGTCAGAATAGAGATGCGCCTGGCAGTTCACCAGGATACCATTTGACTTTCCTTTCCATCTGCTTTCTGTAGCAAGCTCCTGCGCAGGAGTCCACGGGCAGGAAGGACGTTAGGGCCATGAGAAACACCGCTGCCGAGGACACGCCACCTCCCGGGCCACGTTCACGGAATCCAGAATCCAGCAGGGATTCCCAAGGGGCACAGCGCGGGCGAGGGAGGGGGGCTAGGAGATGATGGCCAGAGGCCAAAGCCTCAGTTAGCCGGGTGGGAGGCTTTTCCTTGATATCTGCTGTGTAGCAAGAAATGACAAGATGCCATACATTTCAAATTCACTAAGAGAGTCAGTAAGAGAGTCAGTTTCAAATGGTCTCACCACAAAAGCTGACAGACGTAGTCATTAGCTTGATTCAATCACTCCATGTCACCTTCAAGAATCATAATACCCCCTTTCACACCATAAATATATATGGTACTTTGTTGGTTTACGATCTTTAAAATGCAGAAGTGTTAAAAAGAGGTAACAGGTCAAATGAGGTCGTTAGAGTGGGCTCTAATCCAGTCCCACTGGTGTCCTTCCAAAGGGACAGATAGGCATAGCGGGATGCAGGGGGACAGCGCCACCTGCAGGCGGAGGAGAGAAGCTTCGGAGCTCCAGCCCTGTCCTCTCCTGGGTCCTGGACCTCTGGTCAGCAGGACTGAGAGAAAACACAATCATGCTGTTCCAGCCACCCAGGCTGTGGTCCTTCCATACGGCAGCCACAAGACCCCCAGGGATAAAACAGCTGCAGGTCGGATGGTGACCCCAGACTGAGCCTGCGGGAGTGATTCTGCAGCTCTCCCGGCCGCAGCACGCAGGGAACCCGGGGCTTGCGGTTCACTCACCCACTGGCCCCATTACCCACCCCACAGGCCTCGCCAGTTCCAGTTGCCTCTCCAGCCTGGGCCCCAGCCCCAAATGGCCCTGCTCTCCCCCAAGACTTATCCCCGGATCATATGCCTTGATCAAGAATGTTCCTTCAGGGCGGGGTTGTGGCTCAGTGGTAGAGAGCTCATCTAGCACTGGTGAGGCACTGGGTTCGATCCTCAGCACCATATAAAAAAATTAACTAATAACATTTTGGTCTGGGGATGTGGCTCAGTGGTAGAGTGCTCGCCTAGCATGCACAAGACACTGGGTTCAATCCTCAGCACCACATAAATGTAAAATAAAGATATTGTGTCCACCTAAACCAAATAAATAAATATTTTTAAAAAAGAGAATGTTCCTTCAGATTTGCTATCGAAGTCGATATCGTTTTGCCTCTGGAATTGGCAGTAACCCCTTTAGGGTTTTAATCCCCTAACACACAAAGCCTGATTCCTAGTCAAAAGTCAGGAAATACCTGCTCACCCAACCCTGTCCCAGGGGCTGGACACACAGGGAATCCAGACGGCCCTCACTGAGGCACAGACGTGAATCCACACAGAGGACAGGAGGAAAACTGCTGGTTGAACACCAAGACCCACTGTCCCCTCCTCTGCAGGGCGGAACAGAGCTGGACACACACAATCCAGGATGACAGCTCAGAAAGCTTTCTCGCAGTCAGGTTTTCTGGTCAAAAAGACACAAGTAGAAGTGACATGTCAACTCTGGCCACCCTGGGCAGAGCCAATGACTGAGAGAGAACTTTCAGGAACACCACCAAGGAAGCGAGGATGGAGGAGGGGACGGAAGTTCCAACAGGAAAGGTCAGAGCATCACGCTGTCAGCAGAGACCCAGGAGAGGAGGCAGGCCGTGCCCCACGTCTGGGTGGTGCAGACAGATCGCAGAGAACACGGATGCTGGATCCCAACAGGCGGGGGCCGACATGCCCTGGAAAAGTCTGGAAGGCTGTAATCACATACTCTTGGAACACTGTTCTCTGAGTGATGAGGGATTGTGGTCGATGTTTTCCCATTTGCTTATTTGTGCTTTCTAAACGGGCTGGAATCAATATGCTACTTTCACCATTTCACATGTTTAAAAATTCTTAGCTTTTAGAAATTTCACATGGAGTGGTGTGGGACGAGGAGAAAGCCAAGTGAAAAGGAACCGCAAGGACTTTCACATAAACACACAGCCGGACGCTCCCTGAAGCACGCGTTCACACCCCTGCCCACCTGCGGCTGGGAGGCTAGAGATTAAGTCAGGTCTGGCCCAGCAACTCTGCTTCTGGTGTAAACCAAACTAACTGAAGGCAGGGTCTTGAAAACTCTGTTGCTCATAGCAGCGCTGTTCACCAGAGCCAAAAGGTGGGCCTGCCCAGCTGTCCACAGTCGGGTGAGGACGGGCAGCCCCTCCACATGGCATCGAAAACGAAGGAACCTGGGGCCTGCCACCCCACCAAGACCACGTGACCCCACGCCCCTGGAGCTCCCAGTCCTCCAGGGTCACGGGGACAAAGGTGGACGGTGGTGGACAGGGTGGACTTGACCGATGGGGGCAGAGTTTCCAACTGGGGATGGCGGGGTTGAACAATCATGCAGATGGTAAGTTTTATGTGACGTGCATTTTACCACAATTATATGGGGAGTCAAGGGGGTCGAAGTCAGAGGCTCTGTGTAAGAAGTCAGCCTGGGACCTCCCCTCCCCTGTGCTGCCAGCCTGTACTGCCTGTTCCCTGACCCCCGAGGTCACCTCTGCCCTCCTCCTGGGCACACCCGAGACCACATTCCCAGCCCCTGGGGAAGACAGCAATAGAGCATCTGTGGAGGTGCCCTGCCCATCAATCAGGGGCCAGGAGGCAGCACCTTGGGCAGGTGGGCACCTCAGCTGCTGTGGCCCTGAGGACACGGCTCAAAGAGCAGTCAGCGCTGGCCTCCAGAGCAGAAGTAGCAGTCCCTGCCAGCAGGCCCACTGCGGGGCCTCCGGAGCCCCACCATCCGCTCCAGTGTCCTTCCTTCCTTCCCAAGAGTGCAACTCGATCTCGCATCCTTGTCCTGGGGCCGCTGCTGGGTGCTGCAACATCGTTTCCTGAGGGGACATGGAGCAGGCTGAGCAGCCCTCGGGTGAGTGACATGGACTGGGACCAGCTTGTGACGAGGTGCTGTACTGTTATGGACATCACAAAAGCCACCCTTCAAGTTTAGTGATCCCTCTGTGAAATCATCTTCCTCACCTCAGAATAGTCCGGTGCATGGCTATCTTTATCAGATAAGAACCATTTTTAAAAATAATCTCACCACCACAAGCAATATCACACCAGGAAAGTTCACAGAGCTTCCTTGATAGCAGCTGATAGCCCGTCAGAATTCAGATTTGCCGGATGGCTTTAAAATGTTCTTTTTATCAGTTTTTTTTTTTTTTTTAATTGGGATTCAAATAAAGTTTAAACATTGCATTGGGTAGGTATGTTGATGTAAGGAAGAGAATTCTCGATTTCTATGTTAAAATAAGAAATCAAATAAGTCACCAGTCTTGATTCTTTCTTCCCACCATGCATTTGGAAGAAGAGCAAAGGCCCCAAGGCTGTTTTGTTCTGATAAAGCTCACTCATCTCACTGTTTGAGGTTACAGAAAAATAATAAAACAACAAATTATCAAGGAGTAAAACCAATTACAACGACAGGTGTTTCTTGAAAAGTTATTTTCAAAAGATGTACAAACGATTTTTAAAGGCTTGAGAATCCAACAAGACCCTTTTATTCAAGCAACGCTTCTGTGTAGAGATTCATTTGAACAGAGAAGGGAACACTTCAGAGGCAGTCATGAATATTCATGTGGTTCTCCATATTGCACCAGAAAACAAGATTGATATTCTCCGGAACGTTCTCAACTCAACACCTTATCAAATCAATTCCTTAAATTAGTCTTATGACTCAGAAGAATCTTTCTCCTTATGTAGTATCAGGA